CCTTCCAACCCAAACCATTGTGTGAATCTATGATTTGATGAGATGCAAAAAAGTAGTGAGATTCAATTTAGGTAATTATTCTGTTCCAAGGTGATAGTTTGTTGACAATTCCCATATTTCAGTAGAAAACACCTTTATGGCAATATAGTGAATATTATTAAAAGCTAAATGTGTCTTTGATGTGAATTCATTTGGGACTTTCACTGTAGTGGGATTTCATGTTAATTGATTTCACTGTGGGCATACACCTTATCAATTTTTCCTTCATGTCTTGAAAGCAGCAGCTTGCTTTTTAGTTGAAATACGTTAAGATTAGAAACAAGGGGTTGTTATGAGTAAGATTAAAAAAAAAAAAAAGAACCTCAGTGATCATTAATCTATGTTTTTGAAAGAATGATTTGGGGTCTGAGACAGTGCTAGCTGTAATCTGTGGAAATGACTCATTTGACTATGTACCAGGACCAGTAAGATATTTACGATATTCAGAAATTAATTTCTCTTTGCTTCAGCTTTATCACTGGAAGCTATGACAGAACATGCAAAGTATGGGATACTGCATCAGGAGAAAAGCTACGCACACTGGAGGGACACAGAAATGTTGTCTATGCAATAGCTTTCAATAATCCTTACAGGTACAGGTATTTTCTCTGAGGCGTATCATAACTGCTTATCATGTTATTTTGCAGATACAGAAATATTACTCAAACTTTGGTGTAAAATAGACTTTGTCAAATTGAAAGTGTTCAGGTCCTGAATTTGTGAAGTTCAGCTATGGCTATTCACTGGGGGATGACACTGCATATTATTTGTATAAGACAAATTCAGGCATGTTTTCTGCTGTAATTTTTTAAAATTAAAATTAGAAATTGAAAGCATAGATTTCAGTAGGCATTCAGTGTTCTGAAAAATACACGTGGGTCAGTTTACTGTGTTGGAAGACAGATTTATTTCAATCATATCTACATGATCAGGTTGTGTTCTGAATGTTAATTTCTTGCATGACATGCCTGCAGGTAACTGTGTATGACGTGAGACACAAGTACTTAGACAGCTTGTGTTGCTTCAGTTAAGGAGAAAGAATATTTCTGTCACAACAGCAGTGGGTTTCTCCATTTGATGTTACACATTCATTATTGTTTAGGACATGCTTAGAAGTGTCAGAGCTGTGGAGTAACTTTTATAAAATCCACAGGGTGCCGCTGTATGAATGCCAAATAGGGATCTGTGCTGCTTTTGTTTTCTGTAATAGCCGTTGGCCCTAGGTTAGAATTGCCACCTGTTAGCTGAAGGGAATTATGTGTTAGCTCCTGACGTTTCATTGTCATTTGCTTCCTGAGGAAGCTGTGGTGTATAAGTAAACCATTTTGGTCCTCTGCAAGATACGAGAAATTAATTCCTATTTTTATATTAAATCACATTACTTCTTTCACTGACATATGTCCTATTTATCAGTTAAGCAATACACAGTTAACATCAGGAAATAAATGTTCAAGACTTGTTCTTACGCTACTTGGAGTAACTTCATTTCCTTGAGTTACTTTTAAAATAAAAGGTCAGGAGAACCCCCTTTTTTTCCCTGCTACTTTTTAGGTTTCGATACAGTGTCCCTTGCTAGCTTTTCTGGGTACCTCACTTCAGTCTTGCTCTAACTGCAGTAGGTCAAATCGCTTCCACTGACTTCAGCGGGAGTGGATTTCGACCTCTGACATTTGGGTACACTGCTTATAAAAAGAGTATATAACTGCTGATAAACAGATGCTGTGCAATGAAATGACATAACTTTTAAGTACATCTGGAAGTACTGCAGATAGCCTCATCCCTAATGTAGGTTAATCAGTCAGGAACACTTCTGTGCTAATAGACAGTCATGGTGACTGTTTTAGAAACTAATTGTGTCTGCCGATCTTTTCCCTTAATGTAACTTCTGTTAGTGAAATCCTGCTCCAGAATATTGCAGTGAGGCAGAATGCACCAATGTGCATGCAAGCTTTGCCACTGGGTATTGTTTCTGTGAGTTCTTCTATCTTTGAAGTCAGAAGTTCTTTTTCTAAATAACACTGTCAGGATTTTTTTTTTTTTGCATTTAGTGACAAGATTGCCACTGGATCTTTTGATAAAACCTGCAGACTGTGGAGTACGGAAACAGGAAAATGCTATCATACTTTCATGCACCAAAGTGCATGCAAGCTTTGCCACTGGGTATTGTTTCTGTGAGTTCTTCTATCTTTGAAGTCAGAAGTTCTTTTTCTAAATAACACTGTCAGGATTTTTTTTTTTTTGCATTTAGTGACAAGATTGCCACTGGATCTTTTGATAAAACCTGCAGACTGTGGAGTACGGAAACAGGAAAATGCTATCATACTTTCAGAGGACATAGTGCAGAAATAGTGAGTACTGATGGATGCTCCTTACTCCTTCATGCTTCCACACACTATCATTGCTGGCTGTGGCTTCCAGGTCCCTGTGTTGATTGAAAAGGGCATTGAAAGTACATTGAAAAGGGCAACTATTCTGCTGCATCTATTTACACATTCAGACTTTGTGAACATCTCTCCACTGGAAAAAAAAAATCAGAATTTTTAATTTATTGCACATATTTATTTCTTGATTTTTTTAGATATTCCTTTTTTTTCTAGATACAACAGGCAATACAAGGTATTTACAGAACTAGACACACAAGAACATCATTGCTTGTATTGCTGTCTTTCACACTGAGATCTGTAGTTCATGTACAGGACCAGTTGGAGCCATAAAAGAATGAATTTCTGAAATTTTAAGTGGGTTAACTGAGAATATGTGGGATGCTGAAATGTCAAAGACACATGAAAAGAAAACAGTTTAAGCCTAAAACTGGTTGGTTTAATTTTCATTGCACTAGGAGCCCTGTTAGCAATAGCAAATATCTTGATGCACAGCATTTCAATTTAAAATATCAGGGCAAATCCACTGAAACTCTTAATTTCAATTAAGACTATATTTTTAAACAAAAATAGCTATGCAATCATTATTCAATAAAGCATTTCAGGAAATTGTTTCTGGAAACAATTGAAATTTAAATCGTAGATTGTGAGGCCTATAACCAGTGTGAAAAAATGGTGGTTTACCTGAGTGGAAGGTGAGGTTGGTTTCGGTGGGTTTTTGATTCTCTGGATATTTTGAAATGGTTGTCCCTTACCATGGGGAACACGTTTGTTATTGAGACAGGCTGTAGCGACTTTGTTTCCACAAATCAGTTAGCTCAGTATTTAAAGGCTTCTCAATTTGTTCTGAATTTTGTAGGGGTTAGATTAGACCCAAAATGTTAAGAGTTGTGCTAGCAAGTATTTAGGAGAAGATAATAGCCAGCAGAAAATGATACGTTTCTCTGAATGAGACCTGTTTCTGAAAGAAGGTCATTATTGCATACAATACATTACTGGCAAGGGCGTTTCCATAGTTATTCAGTATTAAAAAAAAGAGAAATGGACATAGTGAAAACGGTCTGGTGACATGAACTACTGGTTTTCTTTTTACGTGGTACTTCCTGTTCTTTATTAGCAGAACAATCATATTCAATAATTATGAAGAATGGGAAGATGACTCTGTGGTTTCTTAATGTGAAAAATGAATGAAGGAAGTTGTTGAACTTTTGTTCTTGCTTTTTCATAAATAAGTATGATGTTGTGGGGATGCCCTTGGCAGATGGCCTAGGTAATGACACCTGTTAAGAGTGTGAGCACAAAGTCTGTTTGTGCGTACACAAAACTGTCTGGAGGGCCTTTGCCTGAAACGGACCAAATTAAAGAGGAAGCCTACCAAATCCAGTTAGGAAGGACTGTCAGGCAGTTGGATTGAACAGTAACTGGGGAATCTCAAAGAGAATTTTGAAATAAGAAGTAGAAAAGCCTATAAAGAAGTATAAAAGAATCAAGGCAATTTATAACAGGGTGGGAGAGGTATTAGTCTGGAAGCAGCAGTTGTTGAAACCTGCTCTGGTGCCTCCAGAAGTCACCCTGAGGGTCACAATCTCTGCCTAGACCAGACAGCACAGCCCTCCTTTCAGAGACACCATGAGGAGTCTGCATCCAGCCAGTGGATTCTCAGTACGGGGTTCAAGAAAAAGGCCCCCTCTCCCCCCCGGTGAGAGGTGCATATGTGAGTTTGGATGCCTCCTCTCTGGGCATGATCAGCAGATTGTAGGTAGTGCCATGGCCTCAACGACAGCTGGAGCTCTTGTCTCCTGGCGCTGGTGTGGGCAAATAGGGGAACTTGTAACCCACTCCTCCTGTAAGAGGGCCTGAGGGTGCTGGCGAGAGTGTGAAAGTGTGTGTGTGTGTGATTAAAACTTGGGCAGGTTTAGAAATTTGTAGCTGTTTTTCGCGATTGGTTAAGTTTATCTATTGTGTTACAGATACTGATACAGAACATATAGTTCTCTGCCAGTTAACTATGCACTATTGATATATTAACAAACTGCTTCAGTCTTTATTTTGATTAAAACTTTGTGAACTAAATAATTTCTCCCTGTGATGAAGCACCTAAATAGCGAATTTGCATCCAAGCTCAGAAAACACAGGAAATCTTTCAGGAAGCCTTTGTAATGCATTGCCATTGCAAAGCCGCCAGCTAGTCCGTTTGATCTGACTAGTCATCCAGAGCTACGTGATAAGGATTTGTTGATCATCTAGTGAACTGTTGGAAGAACCCTGCAATTTTTCTGTAGGCCATAAAATATTGTCAGACTTCTGCCTTGTTTAAAAATATTAATCCTGACCCATTGTTTTTTAAGAAAATATATTAAAATACTCTCCCACTTCTTTAACCCAATGTTTCTTGCTACAGGTATGTTTATCATTTAATCCTCAGAGCACATTGGTGGCAACTGGAAGTATGGATACCACTGCCAAATTATGGGATATAGAAAAAGGAGAAGAAATAGTCACTTTAAGTGTATGTTTGGCTTCCTAATGTTTTTAAAGGTTCCTTTCTTTATTAGTTTTCTGACTGAGATATGTGACAGTAGAACTTGCAGAGTTACTGGTGGGTCCCAGAGTTCCTGCAGTTACAAAACGAATTAAGAAAACTTGAAGGGAATGATAATGCTATGGTATTTTACAACAAGTCCTATTTGTCAAAAGACAGATTTTCTCAGTTCAGGGACATTACTGCTAGAGATCAGAATGCCTTCCATCCCTCATTAAATCATGTTACTATACTGTAATTTATGACCTACTCTGCATTAACATAAAGCCACTCTGAGAACATTAATGTCAGACACTACATCTGTACGGATCTTCTTCCTGTAAATCGGCAGTGGACAGCCTTCCAATTACCTCTAGATTGTGATGTCTGTTTGTGTGGCTTGCTGAGGCTCCACAGGTTCAGACTGGTCTGGGCTGTTTGAATACATTTCTCTCGCATAAATTCTAAATAACAGGTAGTGCATAAACTTTCTTTGGTATATGTGGCCTAGAGAGTGGGCAAGACGTTTTCTCCTCCTTGAATTTCTCTTCCTCAGTGGCCTGAGCAGAGCAAAGAACGGTGGAACGTGTGAACCTTTAGCTTATGAGTATGCTTACATTCATTTTTACAGCAACACCAATGACAAGCTGTACTGTAGTTTACTGTAAATGAATCATCTGATTTCAGTATACACTGGTGAGCAAATGTGATTCCGTTTAAGTCAAAAAAGGAAAATATGCACTGATGACACCACTGGGCAATTGAAATCTTTAAGCAATGTGCCTGATTTTTTGCAGTATTGACTATTCCACAGTCCAGTAGATCTTTTTGTCAGAATTGTGATATACTGGACAAGACTGTAAATAATATATTTCAGGTTTATAGAAGGATGATGCTTTTGAAAAGCTGCATACTCAACTATGTTAGTGGAAAAGACATAATTTGCATTCTCATACTCGTTTTTTTAAATCCTCTCAGGGGCACTCAGCGGAAATTATTGCATTGTCTTTCAACACCACTGGAGACAGGATTATCACTGGCTCCTTTGACCATACAGTAGCAGTGTGGGATGTTGGCACTGGCAGGTACTAAAGTACTAATAAATATATAATTTTACATTACATCTTTTAATGACAAATGAAAGAGACAATGTTGAGCTACAAATTGCACACCTAGCATTTTTGCTTCATGTGGAGTATGCGTTCTTTCATCTTATCATATTACTCCCTTCTGTTTCTTGTTCTAAATTTCCATCATGCTAGCACTGGGGAGACAGACTGAATGAACAGATTCTGTGTTCGTTGCTGATGAATTCTCCAAACAGGAAAATATTTTATCAGCATGGAAACTCATGGTTTAGAAGGTGTCTAGAATTTCTGGATGGAATAGTCTGTTATAATAGAAAGAAAGTATGTGTCATGTCATAGAAAATAAGTCTGGTCACATTGCCTTAAAAAACCATAGAGAGTCTGTTTTCATTTTCACAGTTCTTTACATCAGTATAAATTTATAAAGAGGAGTCCCTCTGACTTCAGAGAACAAAATGTCCTGACTATTGTGCCAACAAATGATAATGTAGTAGCTGAATATGAATTTCTTTTATTGTCCTGACAAATCCACTTGGTTTTTCAACTGGAAACTGAGTGGAAGTAGAATAATAAAATGATTGCTCTGATTAATGACAAAATAATATACAAAGAAAATGATTCCATTACATTTTCAGAGGTCATGTCTTTTTTTTGGGGGGGGGAAGAGCAAGGGCAATATCTCTGAAATTTATAGGTAAAAGGAAAATGTACTTATAGTGGTATCTTAGGGTAACAAAAAATGTGCGTAGCTTCAAAATCAGAGTAATCATGTGATTTAAAAAATAAGATATACATAGTACATCATTTATGTTTTGAGCGTATTTAACACCAGCAGTTTAAAGTTTGGCATGTAAACACTTAGGAGGCAAACATTCATGAAATCGGAACTTTGGATTCAACATAATTCAGCCTGATGTTCCTACAAACGTTTTTGTTGAAAACAGCTTCTTCCAGCTTCTTGTCTGAACGTGCAGCGAAGTCAACGTCTTGGGATTTTCACGCTGCATTCTTTTTTTCTAAGAAATGAATGTGGACTTCACATCAGGGTCAAGACCAGGAAGTGAGATATGAAGGAGAAAATTCTCATTTGAGCACTGACAGCTCTGGTATTAACTAGAGAGCAATATAATTGCCAGGGTCAGCATTCAGCCTTTTAGATGGCAGTTGGGCCTGTACGCATTTAGTCAGAAAGGTTGTGAGCAAATCATACTCTTCTGTGTATAGGTTCAGGTAGATATGCAAAAATCTTGTAGGTGAGGCTGTGTGTGCCTGTCTTTCCCCATATGACATACCTGAGCAACACTGCTTTCCAAACTGGAGTGTGAACTGCAAGTTTCTTTCAGTTTTGCTGGCTGACTCTGATGAGTGCCTGTCTTCCTCAGTTTTATTCAGGGTAGGTATCCAGAATTGTCCTGAGGGAAGTTGATATAGGAACAAGAAATTTCAGGAAGGTTCAAGATTTTTTTCATAAAATATTAAAATTAAAAAAAAACCCAACAACAAAGGAGGGAGGGTGTGTGGGAACATGCTGTTGTACTACAGGTCTGTGATTCATCCGTAAGTTCTTCATGGCAGATACAGTCAGCTACAGTTCAGTTGCAGGGGTCTTCCGAGCTTCATTTGACAAATCAACAGCCTGTAGCTGGAGTCAGGAGTGCTGGACCCAGGACGCTGAGAGACAGGCAGTTTCTTCATATTTGCAATTATGGTGCAAATATCAGAGCATCCATATATTAAATTTCACTGGAAAATGAAGGCTAAAGAGTTATTAACGTGACTGAAGCTGATTTTTCTAAAAATTTGTTTAGAAACAATTTAAATGGAAAACTTCTATGGCACTTCACAAGCCTGTTTTCTTTCTAATTGTGTATCTGATAGTGTTTTCTGCGAGACATTCTACTCAGTGCTATTTATTCTGCTTATTGATCTGATATTTACACTGACTCTTGAAGCCTGGACTGCCTTTTTGAAATTTGGAAATTATAGATTTTAAATTAGAATTGCATTATTAGGTATTTTGGCAGCAGTTGTGATGGCCACATAATATGTGCACAAAATCAAAAATTTTTCCACTGGCTTCTTCTCTGCTTGTTGATTTTTGTTTTTACTGTAAAACCATCTACACAATTACAACACTGCAGACCTCACATTGTTAGAAAGAAAAGAGTAATTCTGTTGAAACGACATGAGTATAATCAAGTTTTTGTTATCATAAACAAATAGAAAATTCAGTTGCTCAGGCGATTTGTTTTGCTGTTCATTTAGCACATACATTAATGTAGCTACCATTACATATCTGATGCAATGAATAAAAACATTTCAGACACTTAAACTCATTTAGTTATTTTTCTAGTCATTAGTTTCTCCATTAGTTAAAGCAGTTTTCTATTAATGACATGATGATATTAGCATTGTGATAATAATTTACTCATCTAATATGTATATATATCTCAATTAATCTTTTGTGGGTTTCATTGCCTTACAGGCCATTAATTCATAGGAAGCAATAATGGCTAATTGTATGCTCTCTATTAAGCTAAAGCTGAAGGATCTAATGGAAGTAGTATTGCCAGTCCTGTGCAGTAAGAAGTTTAGGATTAATGAGGATTAGGAATCATATTTCAGTTTGGCTGTCATTTGCCTGCTACTTGGGAACATACATTAAGTACCTGATTAAGTTCCATTTGATCTTCAGTGGATTATATAAAAGGTTTAGATTGTATGGAGTTTTAAAGATGTGCTGTTTACAGTTTGCTTAAGTAGAATAATTGGAGAGTAATGTGGAAAATCTTGCTGTGTGTGCTTTGTATGAGGATGAATACAAGAAATCTGTCTCTGTCGCTGGAAACTCATCACATTTCACTGGGAATGCAATCACTGAAATACTTTTGAAAGAGAGAAGGAAGGACTTTTCCATTTTATTCCTCAATGCCTCTCTGTCTCCAAGGAAAAAAAAAAAAAGGAATTGATGTAGTACTAGAATCCTAAATGAGCTGTACCACTCCATTTAATTGGTTTAATGGATAAAATGATGAAGACTTGACACCTTAACTATACCCTTTTATAAACTTACTTATAATTTATATGTGTATATCAAAATACACAGTAAAAATGTAAATTCTCTTTTTTTTGTAGGATGTTACATACTTTAATAGGTCACCGAGGAGAGATTAGCAGTGCTCAGTTCAACTGGGACTGTTCTCTCATTGTCACTGGATCAATGGACAAAACGTGCATGGTAAGAAAGTTGCATGTGCCCTGAATAAAACTACTTGATGTATAAAAATCTATCTTTTATAAATGGAAGAGCATTATTTTAAATTAGTACATGGAAATCATTACAGAATTTACAACTAAATGTAAAACCTATAAGTTTATTCAAGTTCAGTTAAATAACAATATATATTTTAAGAGTAATTTAATCAATACACTGAAATAAAACATATATAGGACTTAATTAAACTGATTAATCAGTGACTCTTTATTGATTTCTATCAAGGTTTCATGTTAACATATTGCCACACATCAGAAAGGGCCTATATATGTTGCTTTATGGATCAATGAGATATCCATCAAGTACAGTAGTCAAAATAAGCAAAGAAAACATTCTTATTTATCTGTGCAGCTCTGGAATGCTATGACTGGGACACATATAGCAACTCTATCAGGTCACAGCGATGAAATATTGGATGTCTGCTTTGATTATGCTGGCCAGCGTATTGCAACTGCCTCTGCTGATGGTAAGCGAAGGGGACCGCTGTAAGAATCACAGTTTCGGTTTGAATGTGGCTTGGTCAAAGAGGAGTATCATGACTCAAAACTATAGACCAAGCAATGTTTGTTGCGTTACAGAAAGTTTGACCTTGAACTTATGAAGGTTTCCCAGGTGAAAATTTTCTTATTTTTCCACATTTTGATCAGCTCAACATGTCTTTCCCCTTTAACTTCAAACTTGCAGGAATATATTTCACTTGCAGCTGGAAATACATTTTAAATGTTTAAGTAAGTAGCTTTTCAGTGTAGTTTGATTTGGATGGCTCAAACTTAGGCTTAAATGAAAAAGGTAGTTGGAATCTTAATGGTGGATTTGCTACTAGGCTTTCCAAATGCACAGCAAGAGAATTCACAGTAAAGAGGTACCCAAAGAAGCAATTTAGTTTTGTTGTTGGTAGGCAGCAGTTTGGCATATTTACTATTTTTTTAGGAGTCTTAAACCGTGTTAAGATTGTCTTCTGTTTCTTTGGAAATCAGACCTGAGGATGAAGCCTTCTGACCTTATTTTAAAATATTCTTATTAAAATGCATGCTTAAGCATAACAATCACGAACAGCTCCTGATCTCCTTCAACAGGATCAGCAAGAGTCTATAATGCAGAAACAAAAAAGTGCATTGCAAAGCTAGAAGGGCATGGAGGTGAAATTTCAAAGGTAAGGTGTTTGTGGTTTGCACATCTCCTTATTTGATTGTGTGTGACATCCAACCCGACAGTTATCCCATGACACAGGAATCCTGTTAAAGAGTGTGGTGTTAAAATCAGTAATATTCAAGATTGAGAGGTCTGGCCAAGAAATAATCTTTACTAAAAGAACATTCCTTTGAGCTAAAAGCTATCGGCCAATGGTTGTTTCCAACTCTCCACTTCTGAGCTAAGATAATACTGGGTGTGCTACTCCTAAAGGCTCCACCAAGAGCTCCCTCTTCATATTGTCATGTTACTTGCTACTTGACTCAGAACTGTAGCAGTTAGTAAGTTACTTCAGATCCTTCCCAGGGATGGGCAGCTGGCTTAGTTAACACTGAAATGATTGTTTTTCCTTACCTCTATCCTTTTTCTGAAACATTCTGTAGGTTGGATCTCTGCAGTCGCTTGGCAGAGAACAGGGGAGCAGAGAGGGAGATGCTGTCTGAATGTTCTCTCACTATGATCATAGCTAATGGAGCTTCTGTCTGGCCTATCCTAAACTGTACTTGTGTTATGACACCATTGGAGTCCCTAGATTCTCTGACAGAATCAGCACAATTTTTTTAGTCCTTGATGACACCTTAAGGCTATTGCCTCTGGGGCCTTTAGCATCACCCTTATGCCTTTCTTCTACCACATCTGCTCTTCCTTATGCTTTTTCATTTCTCTGCCCACCCGACTTATGGATGTGACCAGAAAACACATTTCTGTGGCAAAATACTGAAGAATGTTATTTTCAAAAGTGCATAAGGCACTTGGGAGTATAAAGCCTGTTTCAAAAATCACTTGGTCATGAGGAGTGTGCTCATGTACTTTGCTGGAAGTCTTGTCTGGCTCAATTTTAAACGCCAAAGTTCATTTCCGAATACATTTAGTTACTTCTAAGATTGTAGACATTTTTTCAAACTTTGTTATTTAATGCTTGCAGCTTTTCATTGTTCTTTCAAATGGATAGTTTTCACTAGCTTCCAGGCGAGTATGCTGTGTCTCTGCTGCTTATGTTTGATATATCTTGTAATTGAAATGTTAATATTTTGAAACTAGGATGGTTCTTAGTGAACAAAACACACGAGATCCCATCGCATTGACTTGGCTATTATAATCACTCTGCAGACAGAATATTAAGTTTGGAAGGGCTAGTCCTTCCTCACTTAACATACTCAGTGCCATATCTCGCGCGCAGTGTAGATGCACTGAGGAATGCAGTCTGAATAGGTGCTGAAATTTAGGTGGGTTAGAGACAGCTTTCATCAGGATTCTTACTGCTGGCATGATTTCTTTGCTGGAAGTGAGAATCTGCTCGTCCGGGAACATGTTGAAAAGTCAGTCTAATTCTGCAGATGTTCTGTGTAGCTGGAATCACTTGGGAAGGTTATTACTCAGAAATTGAATTTCTGGAGTACAGGCAATTTGCAATTAAACAATTTTGCATTATAGAATAAACCTGGTATTGTCCAGTTAGTGCTATAAAAATGTATCTGATTATCTGGAAATGCGTGCAGTTTTGGCAATGAATGTTTGACAGATATGAAGACATAACTTCAAAATGAGTTGCTTTCAGTGGAAGTTTTACTATTACAGAGACATATGTTATTTAAAGTAGAACTCTATAAAATATGTATAAGTTTTGCATTGGATTAACGTTGACATTTAAATAAAGTTGTAGAGCAATTGTGATTTCTGGGGATAATATTCTGAAGACTTGATCCTACAATAAGGTCATTGTACGTAGACCTTTGTACATGCACGAGTTTTCAGCCACAGAAGTTTGCCAAGGTGACTCTAGTGGAATGCTACATTGAATTTTAGCTAAAAAACTGAATGCAAGAGTTGCTCATTGCTGTTGTCTCTTTTTAATCACTAGCTATGCTTCTTTTTCTAGGCGTATTGGCTCGCTAAGCAATATAACTATTTTCTATATTTTTCTGAAGGTATGTTTCAACCCTAAAGGCAATCGCATACTAACAGCCAGCTCTGATAAAACAGCTCGGCTCTGGGATGCTGCTACTGGACACTGCCTTCAGATACTAGAGGGTCACACGGATGAGATATTCTCCTGTGCCTTCAATTACAAAGGCGATATAATCATTACAGGTAAAAAACATATTCCAGTTTTTTCTTTTTTTTGAGAGATATTTTAGATCTTCCTATGGTAAAAAAAAAAAATTGGGGTCTGAAAAGTGTTCTGCGATCATATCCCAAATACATGTACCAGCAGTGATTTAAAATATAGTGAAGAAAAGCATGAAACTCGCTTTGGAACTGAGGCTTAAAAGTATACAGCCCATGGGTGTACCCTGCCATGCCTATGGTCAGGGACTGGCCCCAAACCAGGGACAAAGCTGTTGTCTCACAACACACTGCAGTGAGGGAGGGCTGGATGGGCAAAATGAAAAGCTTTTTAAATGGGAGCACACCCCTTTTGGCGCTGTGTGCTGTTCAGGTTTTGTTCACTTGGCATGAAAAAGTCATGGGAGTGGGAATTGTGAACAGGAGTATTTGTGATCTCTTCGATCTTTTGACTCAGCTACTGAAATAATGGGGTGCTAGATCTTAGCTAGAAATATTGCAGTAGGTCCTGATGTGTTTTCCAAGTCATGGGCAGAAAAGTATTTCTCTGGTTCTTTGGCATTCCAGGTAGATTGTCGATGTTAACAAAAATGGATAAGTTGTTCCATACGGCTAAATGATTGCCTCCTACTGTGTTTTTATTACTAGGGAGCAAGGATAACACCTGTAGAATATGGCAGTGACTGAAGATAAGGGAAGATCCAGTTTGGTATATGCCCATTTCATGAGTTTCATAGTCAATAAATTCTGTCGTTCAGATATGTTTTACCCTCTTTGTTCATGCTTCTGCTTTCCTGAAGTAGAGATGTTACTTAGATTTTGATAGGTTTGACTTTGCTGGTGTCTGGTAGGAATCGTAGAATCCCAGAACAGTAGAAGTTGGAAGGGACTGCTGGAGATCACCTAGTACAACAGCCCTGCTCAAAGCACGGTCAGCTAAGCAGGCTGCCCAGGCCATGTCTGGCCAGTTTCAAATATCTCCAAGGATGGGGACTTCACAGTTTTACTGGCCAGTCTGCTGAGTGTTTGATCACTTTCACAGTAAAAATAAGAGTTGTGGGGTTTTCCTTTATGTTTAAATGAAAGGGATTTTTGTATTTCAGTTTGTGCACATTGGCTCTTCACTAGATACTGCCAGGAGGAGTCTGGCTCTGTTTCTCAGTTACCTGAACGAAATCATCATTAGTGGGAATGAATCCAGTCAGATGGCCCCATTTCTTTGCGTGTCACTTTTTCCTTGTAACCCTTTTAATAAAAAATAGTATTGTGGTACTCTCAAGTGTGAAAGACGTGTTGTTACGTACCTGCCCTGAGTACTTTTGTGATTTTTTTTTCTGTTGTTGTTTAATAAAGTTTTGAGTTAAAATGTCAGTTTCTCTACTTGTAACAGAATGTCCCACTTGAGATTTCTGGGGAAAACCAGCAACCATTTGTGACCTGTGTTGCTATTAACTATTGCATGCATGCTCTAGTTAAACTCCCTCTCACACTTGCCTGTGTCTTTCCATTCATTCCATTCCTTCCTGCTCAGCCCTCATTCTTCTATTTTCACCTGAGGTAAAAAAATTACTTTGGGTGGTGACTCCAACTGAATCCTGGCCTAAAAAAGATCACAGCCAGCATGAAGGGACTCTACACACCAAAGATTTGGAGCCAAGGATCACAACAAAGTGAGAAGTAGATGAGGAACTCCTGCAGGTGACTCACCACCTGCGGTGCACTCTAACCCAGGTTTACCTCTGGCCAGTAATGACCAACAGGCTTGACCTTCCTATCACAGTACCTGAAACTGCAGTTGCTCTTTGCAGGGGAGTGGCAAAGGAGCAGCATCAACGAGTCTCCTCCAGCAGCCTTGGAAGAAGGGTGGAGAGGCAAAGAGGGTAGGATTGAACGAAGCAGGTGTGGTGACTGAGGGAAGAAAGGAGGTGTGCAGCAGAGAATGAACCTCAAGGTATTTTGTTTTTATTGCACTTTTCTGGGGGGTTTTGGACTTGGCTTCTAAATGCTGTTAACAGGAGGTTACTAATGTCAGTGTGAGTATCTCTGAGTCCTTGTGAACATTCTTGTGTGTAAATGAAGAAACAAAAATGCTGGTCTTCACTCAGCAAATATCCTGGTGGTTTCAAGTAGTGTTGTGCCGTGGGAGAACCCAGCAGTGTGCTGCAGATAACTTAAAGTGAAACCTTTACCCGTAGGCAAAGGCTGGTATCAATGTCACAGTATTGCTTGCGCTGGCTTCTGTTGTCTTGTGCAAAGACTTATGGTGTCGAAAGAGTCTCTCAGCAATCTGGAATGGAAAGGGGCAGGAAGGGCAGTGCAGTTCTGTGTTACTTTAGAATTGCCCGGTGTCCCTAGATCAGTTTGTACCTGTACTTACAGGGGTGATGTGGGGGATTTCTGCTTCACGAAAGTGAAGGAAGATTAATGTAATGAAGTGTGCACAGATACTGCTACGCAGTTAAAAACTGGAATTTGACTTGCTGTGAAACCATCACAAAGTAAAATTTCTTTGGATTGCAATTAAGAAGATCTTTTTCATAATCTTTCATACTTGGTTATTTTCTGTTGCCTTTTCCTTTATGATTTTCCTCTTACACTATGCTAGTGATTCAGTGAGGTAACCATCTGTAGTAGCTTTTGGCTTTGACCTCTTGTCCTATTTTTATGCAAAATTGTGGTTTGGGATAGACCTAAGCATTGGACTGGGAGGCCATCTGGGCTCCATTTCTGACTCTCCCTAAATTCCCTGCGTGTGCAGCATTGCTTTGCAGGCCAAGTTATCCAGGTTTCCTTCTCCAACGTGACATACTGTCACAGTGAGATTCACAGCACTGCTGAAAAGTGTGCTGATGTGGCGCCTCACAAGGACTTGGGTAGTACTCTAGGTCCCTTCACGTGAACGCTGTGATGCTAGGCTCTCTGCACCATGACGTACCCATGTGGAGATTTAATGAATTAGAGATACACGTGAGGAGCGCACTGTATAGCTGTATTCTCCTGAAACCATCCTGTGATGGTAGCAGCTTGATCTCTTTCTGTAATTCCACTTCAGTCTCCACGACCAGAACAGCGTATGTGTGTGCTCTATTGTCTGATGCCTTTTTAATCTTATCAAAACATTTGGCTTCTGCATACTTTGTACTCTCCCAGCTGCTTCTGTAATCACTGCGTGGTTGGCATGGGATGTGGCTTTCAGCGTCATCCTGAAATGCTGGCAAGTGTGGTTCTCTGTGACCTTATTGAGAAGGATTACCTCGGGAGACTCCCGAGCGTGCTGTAGCAAGGACTGCCGCAGTGGAAAACAAGTTTGGTTTGCTGTATTGTGTCTGTCCTCCAGACCTCTGAATCCTTTCAGTACATAGGTCTGTGAACACGCAAGTCTCTCTTTCTGGGAAAGAAGCCTTTAGCTTGATCAGGTAACTTCCCTGGGACGGAACATACATTTTACAAGACGAGGAGGAGGATTTCCATGTAAGCATACGGTGTGTACTTGGACTCTGGCCATGTGCAGCTTCTATCTCTTAAGGTTCAAACTCTTTCCTGAACAAGGTGAGGATAATAATGCTCACACCCTCTCATGTTTTAAAAGTGGTGTTTTGTGAGAATTTCTTCTTAGGCTCCTTCCGTGTGATCACTTCTGTTTCCTGGGTAGTTAGTGAAAAGATACAAAATACAGCCTGCTTGGTCATATTTTCCAGTTTGCTGCCCTTTACTGTCTAATTTTCAGCTGAAGCTGGCAGAGGAGCACAGTATCCATCAGCCAGACCTGTCTGCACTGCAAACTCTTTTAATTAGTTTGATAGTCCAGCTGTCTAATTTAACTGTCCGTCCTGTTAAATGTTGTACAGCTGCAAGTTGCTTTCTGGGCTAGTTCCTTGTGATGCCTGGCTTTAGAGCAGGTTTGAAAAATGAAAGCAGTGGCATTATGAGTTTGCTCATACTTAGCAAAGACTTACGAATGGTTCTGGCTTGAATTAAAATTCTTAAATTGGCTAGTATGGGTGTGCTTTCCTTCTCAGCTGGAATTTGTTTTATTCATTTAGTAGCTCATTTGGACTCTTTATTTCAATGGAGTGGTGGGTTTTTTTCACCTGATATTTTGGAAGTCAGAGTGCAGGATTCATGGTGACATTCCTGTGCTTGACTGTCACGCAGCTCTGCATTAAACTAGACAAGGGAAACACTAAAGTCAGCCCCTCCAGATGGGTTACCTGCTGAGTTTAATAAGATAACTGTAAACAGGTGACCATTTTTTAATCGTAGACCACAATGAAATGGTTAATGAAGGCAATTAAAATCTTCAGTGTTATGACAAAAATGAACGAAGATTATGATTTTCCAGCTTCTAAAGATCGCAACATTAAAAGCACCCTCAACAAAACCAAGTGAAAAATGAAGGTTTTAAATACTTGTTTTTCAAGAGGTAATTCTGCATTTGAATTAACATTCCTACAGGCCCAGGAGGGACCTGGACAGGCTGGGG